TATTGAGTTCCATTTCTTGTCCTCTTTGGAATTTGTACTATTAGTGGAGTACTTCAAAGACAGAAATTCTCATTTCCTTTAAAAGTCATCTTCATGCCGAATACTGCTTTCATTGACAATGCCTCTGTGAACCAGTTTTTCTTCCTGCTGTATAGCACATTTAGTGTTTCTTATTACTCTGTCAGGAAGAGCTTTACCAGGCTTTCCACCGTGACAAGTGTTCTTAAATAGTGCAAGTTATAATAAAGGCAAAACCTTCTCTTCATTTGTAAGCAATTTGATGTGATTTCCGCTGTTCAAAAAAAGTGGTTTGTCCCTCTCAGCTTATTCTAAGAAGAGCCAAAGTGCCTCAAAATGAGTATTTAAATTTTTTTTTAATTACAAAAAACATTCAGAGGTTCCTATTAACCCTCCCCGCCATGTGTAGTAAGAAAAACAGAATGTGAGAATGTGCCTTTTAGATGATAGCCTGTGTTAAAAATGTGAAGCAGGGTTGTGAATTTTTAGTAAAGCAAACCTATACAGTTCAAATCTCAAGTCTTTTATATTGTCACCTTATTATTTAGGATTTAGAATGCCACACCTCACTAATATTTTAATATACTAATATGGCAAAATTCAGTAAGGAACTCTTAAAAAAAAAAAAAAGATATAATGTGAAACCAGCTGTCAAAAACATCTTTGTTTTGGAAAGTTTCACAGGTAGTTTCAATGAGAACTTGAACTCAGAACAAAGCACTGAAGACACAGTAAAGAGTTCAACCCAGTGCAGCATAGTTCTTTTCAAGTATTATATTGTTTTAATGGAATCTTGGAGCTGGAGCTTTAGCCCATTGAAATGTCGCTTAAAGAACAGGTTCTTCTGTCACTAGCTGGAGCTGTGTGGATGAAATGATCACAATAGAGTGTTGTAATGCATTTTAAAAGTGTGAGAAATCAGTTTGTCTAGACTAAGAGTGGGCCTACAGGGAATAGGAATTTTAGAGCTTCTGTGCTCTTTAGGTGTCAAGTATGTGATAGATGCCAAGCCTTTTTATTCCATATCTTTGGCAACAGCTCAGCTATGCTACAGTACCTTACATGTCTACAGCAAGGAAAAACAGTGATTTTATGTCAGGACAACTTGGGCTTCAGAAACCAGAAACTCATTGTCCTAACAACTGTCTGTTCAATTGCCAGCTTTAAAATGGGGAAGATATCAATAAACAATTGCTAGATTCCCAGAAGCATGGAAACTTTAGCTATAATGAATCAAAGTATGAAGAGCTAGCAACACTATGTAGATATTTTATTTTTGGAAAGTACGCAGGATTTCGTTTTCACCTTGAAAAGATTTTTATGGGATGAATCCTATATTATTAGTGAAATAACTTTGATTTGGAGCCAACTCAGTGCCCCAAAAAACATGGCTTGAAGGGACTTACGGTTTGTTTGGGGATTTGGTTTTATTTTCATCCAGATGAGCAAGCCTAGGCATTTCTTTACTATGGTTCCCTCATAAATATAGCATTTGCTGGGTTTTAATACTCTCTTTAGATTGTGTTCTGTATGCACTAATTTTTTATTTTTAGTAGTATTTTGATGATTCTTTGGTGTGGAGGCTTCAAAAGAGGAAATTGTATATGTCCGTAATGTTATTTAACATAGTATCTTATTTTAATAATTCTGGATAATTCTGGAGCCATTCAAAAACTTTTAAATCTGATGCATAAAATTAATAATGGACATATGAGTTGCTGAGAGTAATAATAGTAAAAAAAAAAAAATAATCCTAAGCTATTTTGAAGCTTGCATATTTGGAGGTATTTGATGATAAACCCATAATTTTTGGATGTAGCAGATTATTTCAGAGGGGAAAAAGAAATTTTTTTGTGAATATTCTTACATTTTCTAAATAGGCATGTTTGTTAAATACAGAAATAAAGGCTAATACAGAAGCCTGTTCCTATAAACAGGCAAGCTGAAACATTGAAGCCTTACCAAACTTTACAGCAGGTGAAAACCTCTTTTTGTTAAACAAAGCACTTTGCCAATTCAAATAAGAAAACTTTAAGCTATTTCCTTCTAAAACTGTGGTTTCTAATTTCTAATTCAGAAATGCCATTCTGTCAGGAGATGTTTTACATGCGTGTTGCAACATTCCAGTGACTGGTAGTGTTTCTTTTTCGTATTACTTCTAGACTCCTATTAAAAATAAACATTACTTGGCCTAATGGAAGCATTTATAATGAAATTATTAAGATATTTTGACAGTTTCTTTTGGTGGTCTGGGTAGAAATGTCAGAAGTTGGAAAAATAGTGTGCATGCCTGTTTGTTTCCCCTGCTGTTCTAATTGCAAATACAAGTCAAATGCTTTAAACTTGCTCCCTTGTGTAGTTTTGAGGGACTGATCTTCCAAAATTTATTTTCTGAAGTAAACCAAAAAAATGAATCTTGCCTCTTTTCAAAGGATGATCTGGTGACTGCACCAAGAGCTTTTAAGTTTGCCACAAAACAAAATCTCATAAAGTTAGTAGCCAGAGACATGTAAAGCCAGTGTTTTATTTAAACTTGTTTGCCTTTTAATTCAAGTCGTGGAAGTACTGGCGAGATAAGTTCAATATGCCTATAAGTTTTGCTGCACTTTTTTTAACTTTTACCAGTTTACTATTTGTTCCTGGAGAGGGGAGGTGAGGGGAGGGCAAGGAGGGAGACCGAGGAGCTCCCACTGGCCTTTTAAGTATGTAAGGAACAGGAGTAGTTTAGCATCCTTAGAGATGGATTTGATGTTTGATTTCACTCTTTACTAGGGTGAACTGACAGGTTAATTTTATGTAATTACTGTTTAGTTTTTAGCAAGAAAGTTCACTTTGATTATATCAGATGCTGCTGAGGGTAATTTTTCACAGCAATTCATGTAGGGTTTTTCCCTATCTTATTCTTTGTTAAAGTCAGTTAATATTTTTGGGCTGTTTTTGTGATTCTTCTGGTTTTGGCTTTTTTAGGTTTATTTGTTGAGGGCTCACAACCCAAGCCTTAGTAGAGGAGGGTGTCCTACTACTGACTATGTACAATGTTACAAGCCTTTTCTGTTTGTTTGTTTGTTTTCCTTTGAAAGTTGGAATCTCCTGATTCCTTTTGTCCTTCACAAAAATAATGAAGAATGTTACCAGTATCAGATGTTCCTCTCTTGATCTGGAATGTCATCAGAAGAATTGGCTCTCAAAAACTGATAATCATAGTTTGAAACATGAGGGGGTCAATTTTGTGTTATAACTAATGGTTAGAGAAATGAGAGAGCTGAATTCTAGTATTTGCTCTGCAGTCTCAAACAATCAACAGATTATTTTGCGAAAGATAATCTCTTGCCTCTTCCTTCATGCTAAGCATAGCTTCTTGAGTCAGTGTGGATATTGGTGCCTCTTAATTATATACAGACTTAAGTCCGAGTGAAAGCACTTACTCTGCAGCACATAGTTGGCTGGCTAGGATTGTGGTGAGTAGTCGTGTTCATATGAAGTTTAGGCTTCTAATAGTAATGTAAAAATGGGGGATTTGTGGATGCTTCAATGAGTGCTCTGATATTTTCTTTAAGAGGGAAAGA